ATATTTTTCTTTTTAATATCATAAGTTAGTTTTACAGATTTCTCAGTGTTGAACCACTTTGCATTCCTATAGCTACTTCTCAATTTCCATCACTGGCCATTACCCTCTTTTTGATCTTTAAAACTAGGTTCAGTGGTACTGGCACTCTTCTTTTCTCATGGTATGAGATGATGCTTTTATTCACCTTTGTGAATCTAGACAGCAGAGATATATACCCTAATGTTTCCCTAATTAATATCTCACTAAATGGCATCACTATCTTCCTGGCTGCTGAGGCCCGGATCCAAGAATTAGATTTCTAAATTTTTTTTTAGGATTTGGAGGTCTTTACACAAATACACTGCTTACAGACCAGACAGATTTGTGTGCCAGTCCCTGGCATCCAAAGATGTGGTCCTTCTCTAAGCCTTGAATACAGACTACTGTCTTGTAGAAACTGTGCCCAGCACTGTCTTCAGCGCCTCTAACAAAGTCAAACATACAGAAGGCATTCAAGAAATATGAAACAAATACTGAATTAACAAGCTCAATTGAGTTATCATGAATACTTTGATATGACATGTGTCTACCTACCTGTTCTGTCCACCCATCAGCTCAACTTTCTACATAGCCTTAAGTGTTCCCCTGCCCCACTACCTCCCTCCTAACCTAGCAAGAGCAGGTTGCCTTCCTACCCATTCAGGATTACATGAAGCATAGCAAAGGTTCAGAGAGGGAAGGGGGCCAATAATCCAATGGGAATATTCACTACATAAAAAACCTTCAATAAGTATGCACATCTTTAATTACAATTATGCATCCCTGAAAACTGACACAGAAAACCTGCCACATACAACCTTTTGCCTAAACCAAAGTAAAGAGGGCTATATAATATTGAATTCACAACAAATTCAAATCCTGTGAATTAAGTAGGAATACATGACTTCATGACTATGTGTTTATTCAGTGACAGATTTTTAAAAGCCATCCCCCTCTCCCCTTCAAGGTACTCAGCCAGTAGCTACCTGGCTCTGAAGGCAGTAAACTTTGCCCTGGGTACAGAGGGAGGTAGGGAAAGCCCAAGACCTGGGCTTACCCTGGAAGCACAGGGACAGAAACTGATAGGCAGCCTAGGTCTACTCAAGGGATGTGAGACGTCATGGAGTACTGTGATCCCCATTGTGGTATTCACAGGTGCGACCTCTTGGGAAATGACAAAGTCATGAGAATTCTGCCCTCATCATAGATTAGTGCTTTACACAAGGGCTGGAAGTTCCAGGAACTGCTTTAGACCCTTCTGCTCTTCTGTCACATGAAGGTACGAGGTTCTTCCTCTTTTTGCCCCCTTTGCTCCTCTGCTTTTGCTATGTGAACATAACAGCACAAGATGACACCACTGATGGAGCAGGCCCTTACCAGACACCAAACCTGCTGGCACCTTGATCATGAACTTCCCAGCCTCCAAATCTGTAAGAAATAAATTTCTGTTCTTTATAAATTACCCAGTCTCAGGTGTTTTGTTACAGCAGCGCAAATGGGTTGACACACTTGGCTACCAAGAGGCACCTAGTGAGGCCAGAGGGTAAATACCATGATCACCCAATCTCTGCAGTATAAAGCCTCAGTCTCACTTGCTCTTCAACTCTCCCACTTTCCTGGTCTCTGCCCGTGGAATCTCAGGAACGTTTACAGCAATTAAACTATAAAGGAGCTCACTCTCTCCCTCCTTCCAAGAGCTGTCTGGAGATAAACTCTAAGGTAGATGCTCTCTGCCCAGGAGATGGTACCAGCAACCACACCTAACACCTCCAAAACAGGACTTGCTGCTCTAATTTTGGGGGCAGTCTGTGTTTTTTTTTTAACTGATCCACAAATTTTTCCAGCAGGTGTGAGGAGTAAGCAAAGAAGACTTCTCTTTGGCTTGTGAAAGGTACTCAGCACTAATTAGCGTTCTGGGTAATCTGAATCTGATTCCATCTTCTTCTTTCTGGTTTTTGATTTTCTTTTTTCTTGTTTTTTGTTTTCGTTTTATTATAAAGGTGTGGGGTACAATTCAGGGTTAGATGTACAAATGTTGGTTATGCAGGTACCCTTGTTGATAAGGTATGCCCCTCCCTCCCCTAGCAGTTTCCCCCAACTGTGAAACTCACCCCCCCACCCTGCAGTTTCCCACTACTGCCAATCCCTTTTAGTATTGTGATAATTGTTCAAGGTCGTTTTGTTTTGGTTTTTTAAAAAGTTTTCCTGAAATTCTCTTTTCTTGTTTTCCAGGGTTCTCAAAGATCTGAAGTCTTTTTTTCTTAGCTGGCATTCCATTTGGTTTTGAAATCTTTGGCTCAGGTGACTAAGACCCAATGCACAACTAGAGAGCCACTGCAATGGTGGTTCCCAAGTCAAGCTATGTACTGAAATCCCCTTTAGGTTTCTTATTAGAAAATATAGGACCTGTTTCTTAGCTCAACCATAGAGATTCTGATTCATTGACCAAGAGGCTGGGATTGGAAATCAGTGTTTTTAGCAAGTATTTGCAGCCAATATAATAAGAATCTGTATTTGAAAACCATGGCTCTATATGATTTTGAATGATGATAGATATACTATAATTCACCAAGCCTTTACTTTTAGACATTTTGCTTAGTTTGATTTCAATTATTCACTAATATAAGTGCTTCAATGAACATTTTTTATATCTACCTCTTTTACATACCTCTGTATCATTTTGATAAATGCCTAGACATAAAATCAAAAGGAGAAACTTCTTTAGTTATTTTGGTCAAATTGCCTTCAAGGTAGGATCTACCCCAGACTGCTCCCACTTATAGTGCAAGATACTATTTCCCTGCCTCTCTACCTAGGTATGATAGCATTATTTTTTTAACCTTTGCTAATTTTGGAGATGAAATGACATCTTATTGCTGAGTTACTTTATAATTGTAAAAATGTTTATTTATTCAGTAAATATTTCTTGAACACTTGCCAGGTCTTGTGAACAACATGAGCAAAAGCAAATGTGGTTCTTACTCTCACTTATATAGAAGTATAATTAATCCAATAATCAAAGAAATAAACATAATAAATGATATTATGAACACTGATCAGTAATGATAACAAATCTTACAAAGCAGTGATTTGACCTTCTTAGAAATGTCAGCAGAAGCTCCCCTGAGAAATGAAGGTAACAATACAGAGAATGATAACAGCACACTCTGACATGGCACTTACTATGTTCCAAGCTCTATTCTAAGCATATCAGATATATTATTAATGAACTGACTTTTATAAGGACGTATTATTATTATCTCCATTTTACCAATGAGGAAACAGAAAGTTTAAGAAAGGTGTCCAATGTCAGAAATTAGGATTCAAACCAAAATTATCTGCCTCAGAGTCGGAGCTACTAAACACTATTGTGTTACTTCTCAGGTGACATTCCTAAACTCTGTGCACATAGCAGACTCAGTATTCCCTGCTTTGCCCTATCAGAAAGGGATGATGTGCTGCAATCCTCCAAAGAACAGTACACAGTCCCCAACTAACTTGAAGCTCCTAAGAGTTGTTGAGGAATACTGAGGATGAATATATCTCCTCCCTCTCACTTCTAGAGCTGCAGCCAACGCGCCCACCCACCTCCTACCTCCAGATCACCTAAGGTGCTAAAGCAAAGAAGAAGGATTGTCCTTGTTTTTAAGATAGTAATCCCAAATTCACCATGTTGATGATTTTCTTGCTAATCATCTCTGTGTTACAACATGTTTGAACATTAAGTATCACTGTTTCATGAGAATGTAAGGAAAAAAAGCACCAATTTCTGATTTTTAAACCTCTCAAATGAAGAGTGACCATTCTTATAATGACTCTACCTGACACAAGCCTGGTTCCCACAGGCTGGCAGTCTATTTTTCTATTTATATTTAACACATTAGGCCTATGAACACTAAGGCTGGATTAGTCTAAACATGGTGTAACGAGAATTGTAAAGGCTTAAAACAAAAGGTCCTTAATCCTCTGCCAGTTTGCCAAACTTCTGGGAGTTTAAAGTATGACAACTTAAAGAAGTATGTTCCAGAGATTTCTGTGAGGAATATTTACTCACTTTGGGCCCTGAACAAGTGAGTGAACTAAATTCTCTAACAGACTGTTGAGTAAAACACTCACAGCTCCAACAAATAAAGTATAGGGATCTTCACCATCCCAGATGCTCACTTACCATGGCTCTATAATCATGAGGCTGTGGAGAGAAGCAAAAGCTGTCATGCACAAAGATATTCACCAATGAGCTGACCAGTCTCCATTCAAACTCCCCTCCAGTATCTACTGCTGGGAATCTATTTATGTCACTCTGATTTTTACATGCTGCAAACATCAGACTTTTTATAAAAGCAGGACAAGTGTAAACTGAAACAACAAACTGCCAAAGATGCAGGATTAGAACGAGTCACTGAAAAATGCAAGACAACTGCTCTAATATATGCAAAGCCATTTTAACAAATGAATGTCTCACAGACTTGGACCAGATACAATTAGACCAGAGAGCAATTGTGGAGAATTCTCAAGGACAATACAATAGGTACTTCAAAAGAAAATGAATTAACTCTCCAAGAACTAAGAGAGGCCCTTGGGATAACTAAAAGAGTCAAGGGATATTTCTGTAAATCATTTCGCGCTTCCTGACCTGGTAAAGGGTACTGCATTATGGTCTTATATAATTCTATCAGGAAAAAGTAAGTCTAATCACTTTTTGTTCATTGTAAAGATTAGCGCGAAGTTTCAATTATATAAATTTTGTTAAATATAAGATTTAAAAAATTTTTCAGTTTACTTTTTCAAATTAAAGCCTATGCAGTTTCAATGTTAAAAAGGAATAAAATTCAGATACATGATACAACATGGATGAAACTTAAAGACATTATACTAAGTGCAAGAAGCCAGATACCAGCCGGGATCGGTGGCTCAGCCTGTAATTCCGTGCTTTGGGAGGCTGAGGTGAGTGGATTGCCTGAGCCCGCGAGTTCGAGACCCACCTGGGCAACTTGGTGAGACCTCATCTCTACAATAAAACAAAAAAATCAGACAGGCATGGTAGCATGCACCTGTAGTTCCAGCTACTTGGAAGGCTGAGGTGGAAGGATCGCCAGAGCCCAGCAGGTCGAGGCTGCGGTGGCCGGGAGTAGCCACTGCACTCCAGTCTGGGCGACAGAGTGAGACTCCAACTCAAAAAAAAAAGCCGGGCTCGGTGGCTCAGCCTGTAATCCCACGCCTTTGGGAGGCTGAAGTGAGTGGAGTGCCTGAGCCCACGGGTTCGAGACCCACCTGAGCAGGCGAGACCTCATCTCTACAATAAATCAAAAATTAGCCGGGCATGGTAGCGTGCGCCTGTAATTCCAGCCACTTGGAAGGCTGAGGCGGAAGGATCGCCGGAGCCCAGCAGGTCGAGGCTGCGGTGGCCAGTGGCCACTGCACTCCAGTCTGGGCAACAGAGTGAGACTCCAATTCAAAAAAAAAAAAAAGAAGTCAGATACCAAAACATAATATCATATGATTCCACTGATATGTGATACCTGGGATCGTCTAATACAAAGAGACAAGAAGTAGAACAGTGGCAAGGCACAGGAGCTCATGCCTCTAATCCCAGCACTTTAGGATGCCGAGGTAAGAGGTTTGCCTGAGCCAGGGAGTTTGGGACTGGGCAACATGGTGAGACCTCATCACTACAGTTGAAAAAAAGAGAGAAGGGGAAGAGTGGGGAGAGAGATTAGCCAGGGGCAGTGGTCCATGCCTGTAGTTCCAGCTACTTGAAAGACTGAGGCAGAAGGATCACCTGAGCCCAGCAGGTTGAGGTTGCAGTAGCTGTGATTGTGCCACTGCACCCCAACCTGGGTGACAGAATAAGACTATGACTCAAAAAAAAAAAAAAATAGTGGTCACCTGGGGCTGGGAGACTGCAGAGTTATGTTTTAATAAATACATCAAATTTTCAGTTTGAGGATGATGGATGGTAATGATGGTTGGTTGCTTAACAATGTAAATGTATTTAATGCTACTGAACTATACACTTAAAAATTATTAATAGTAACTTTAATATTATGTCTATTTTACACAATTTTAAAAAACTCATAGTATGTGCAGTAAAGAATTAATTTAGCAGGTCAGAGTTGCTCAAACCCAGTACATTCAAATAAACAAGGACTGGCCCATGGCAGGCTCCTGGCAAATAATCTCTGACTTTGTGAAATAACAAGCCTAATAAGAATCTTTCTGAGGCCAGGCACAGTGGCTCATGCCTGTAATTCCAGCACTTTGGGAAGCTAAGGTGGGAGGACTGCTTGAGTCCTGGAGTTTGAGATCAACCTAGGCAACATAGCAAGACCTCACCTCTACATAATAAATAAATAAATAAATAATTAGCCGGTCATGATGGTGTATGCCTATAGTCCCAGTTACTCAGGAGGCTGAGGCAGAAGGATTGCCTGAGTCCTGGGAGGTTGAGGTTACGCACTCCAGCCTGAGTGACAAAGTGAGACCCCAACACACACACACACACACACACACACACACACATACACATGCATGAGTGTTTTTGTATGATTGTGGACTTGAGTCACACTGTATCTGACTGACCTCTGAAAGAGGTAGCGACTGAGTAGCTAAAGTCAGTCACATGGTGCTACATGTTTACATGACTGACAAATAAAAGCTCTGGACACCAAGACTAGTGTAAGCTTCCCTGGTTGGCAATTCTTCACGTGTGTTGTCATGCTTTGTTGTTGGGAGAATTATTCCTTGTATGACTCCACTGGGAGGACACACATGGAATCTTATGCCTGGTTTCTCCTGGATATCATCCATCTGCTTTTTCCCTTTGTTGATTTTTATCTGTATTCCTTTACTGCAGTAAACCATAACATATAACAACTTTCTGAGTTCCATGAGTCCTTCTAATGAATCATTGGGGTTCATTAGAACCGGGGGGTGGTCTTGGGAACTGCAACACAAAGTCCCAATCAAGTACTCTCACTATCTACAATTTTTTTTTTTTTTTTTTGAGGTAGAGTCTCACTGTGTCGCCCAGGTTGAAGCGCAGTGGCACGCTCACAGCTACCCCAGCAACAACCTGTTGGGCTCTGGTGATCCTTCCACCTCAGTCTTCCAAGTAGCCGAAACTACAGGTGTGCACTACCATGCCCGGCTAATTTTTTTGTAGAGACCACGTCTCACCAAGTTGCCTGGGCTGGTCTCGAACCCATGGGCTCAGGCAATCCACTCACCTCAGTCTCCCAAAGTGCTGGCATTACAGGCTGAGCCACTGAGCCCAGCCTACAAAAAAATTTTTATCCCTACTTTAAATGGGTTCATTTTAAATGCCCTTTAGTAACAGTTATCCTCAGTTAACAAGGACCTCCATTACATAGCCTCACCAATGACCCTTGGAGTAACCAAGAGTTCAGACTTGTTGGAAAAGTTGGTCTCAGTCATGCTACTTTACCATGGGTGCCTACTGACAAACTCAGAACGCTTGCTAGTTACACTGCAGCAGAGTATGTGAAGCGTTTACTTGTCAATAGATTTACATCAGTGTGGATTTAGGTCTTGCTTACAGTAACATCCTCTCCATCAAAGGCTCCAAATAGCCAAAGAGAAGACATTCCAATTTATCAACATGGCTTTTGAGGCCTCTAAATATAGACCCTGCTAGGCTTACTTCTCAAGTCTAACTCCTTCCCATTCAAACACTGAGCTCCAGTCACATTAAACTCATTCCAGTTCACCAAATCATGGGACCTCAACTCCAGATCTTTGCAGGTGCTTCCTGGTTTTTGTTTTGTTTTTTGTTTTTTGCCTGACTAAACACCTTCCTGCTCATCTTTACAACTTTCTTGGTAGCAGAGTTTGTTATCCTCAGAACTATCAACATCATGGACTGGATAATTCTTTGGTGTGGAGGACTTTTCTGTGCACTGTAGTACATTTTGTGGCATCCTCACCCACTAGATGTCAGTAGCACATACTTCTCTCCAAGTCATGACAACCCAAAATGTCTTCAGACATTATCAAATGCTTCCTCCTACCCCATTGGCATTTGAGAACCACTAATTTAGAATCATCTCTGCAGCTCTTCCCCTCACTCCATCCATGGTTTGGTTAAGAGCCTACCTATCTGCTCTCCTGGCACTCTATGTTGTCGTCTTTAAGTGTCCACTCCTACAAGAAGGCTAGCTCCTTGAACACAAGGATATGGCTTTTTTAGCACTGCACTTTCAGCTCCTAGCCCAGTTTTCAGCACATCGTGAAGCCTCAATAAATACTTGCAGACTGACTAAATGGATAGGATCAGGCTATGGAAAGTAGTGTGGGAAGCCTATGAAAAAAACAATGAGTGAAGGCAAGAAGGTGGAATGCTCAGGATGTATAGAGAACAGCAAACATTTTCATTTGCTTGAGAATAGAGTAGGTTAAGGAAAGAAGCAAGATATGAGCAATTAAAAAATAGGTTGGAATAGCAAGGAAAGTTATAAAGGTCAAGCTAAACAGCCTCAACTTTACTGGGAAAGAGAAATGAGGGGATGGAAATAGTTGATTAGTTACAATCCTTTCTACAATGCCATTAATGAGTGTATATATTTAGCAGCCAACATAAAGGTGTATATTTAGTAATCATCTTAAATGAAATCTTTTTTGTGACATCTCAGAAAACTAAACAGTATATCAACCTGGCTATCTAGATAGTTGATATTATTTTATATTAGTTTGTCAGGAATGACATAAAATACTACAGATTGAGTACCTTAAACAACAGAAAGTTATTTTCTCACAGTTCTGGATGCTTAGAGGTCTAAGACCTCGGTGTCAGCAGGGTCGGGTTCTTCTTCTAAGGTCTCTTTCCTTAGCTCCTAGACAACTGTCTTCTTCTGGTGTCTTCACATCTATGCATGCACATGTTTCTGTTCAAACTTCCTCTTCTTACAAGGACACCAGTCATACTGATTAGGGTCTAAAGACCCCCATTTTAACTTAATTGCCTCTTTAAAGACCTTACCTCTAAATACAATTACATTCTGAGGTACTGGAGGTTAGGACTTTACCACATGAATCTGAGGAAGGGGGGACACAATTCAGCCTATAACAAGGCTGGAAAATATTTGGGGGAAAAAAGATACCAAAATCATGTATTCATTCCAAAAACATTTATTAAGACTACTATGTAACAAACACTATGCTAAGGCACTGAAGATTCAGTGTTACACTAAAACATTCCCACTCCTCATAGAGTTCACAATCTAGTAGCTCCAAATCTAAACAAAACAAGTAATGTGAACTATGGAAATACAGGGAAGTACAGGGTGCTAAGGAGCACCAAGAAGGGATAGCTAACCTAGACCCTAAGTCAAGGAGCACTGCTTAGAATAAAGATCAGATGAGTTCAGACCTGAAGGATAATGATGGTTAAATTTAAAAATGGCAGAGAAAGTAAGAGTATTCACTTAGAACTCTGAGAAATGTAAAATTAAGTATTGCAGAAGCATATACAACAATTACAATGTGTGTTCAATTCAAATTGCATTACTTTCATTCCTTTCTAGGTTACTGATACCATGTAAATTTGCCAGCTTAAAAATAAGTATAATTTTGGTGAATGCAAGGACACTCTACTACTTGATGCTCTGAAATGCTTTCATTTATGATCAGGAGAGGGCGGGCAGGGTGGCTCATGCCTATAATCCCAGCACTTTGGGAGGCTAAGGCGGGAGGATTATTTGAGCCAAGGAGTTCGAGATCAACCTGGGCAACATAGAGACACCTCGTCTCTACAAAAAATAAAAAATGTAAATGGGTGGAGTGGCATATGCCTGTAGTCCTAGCTACTTGGAAGGCTAAGGTGAGAGGCTACAGTGAGCTATGACTATGTCACTGTACTCTAGCCTGGATGATACAACAAGACCCTGTCTCAGAAAAAAAAAAATCAGGAGAGATTAACATATTAACAAAGCATCTGACTGACAAGTATAGTGGATTTTGTACATCAAGAATATCCAGAAAA